GGGCCCCCCAGACTCCTGTCCCCCCCGGGCCCCCGCAGCCCCCGGGGGGACCCACGGCCGGGTAGAGCTGCAGCACCAGGAGCCCCCCGCGGCCGCGGGGCCCGGCCGCGCGGGTGTGCAGCAGCCTGGCCACGTTCTCGTGCTCCATCAGCGGCAGCGAGTGCACGGCGCGCTCGGCCGCGAACCGGCTGCCGGCCCCGGCCGCGAACGCCTTGATGGCCACGGGCCGCTGGCGCAGCGTGCCCCGCCACACGGCCGAGAAGCGCCCCGACTGCAGCACCTGCCCGGGGGACACGCGGGGACAGGGACACAGCGCGTCACACAGGGACACTCGTATCCGGGCACCTCTGGGGCTCCCCGGGCACCCCCAGCGCTGCTGTGCCCCCCCTGGGCTGATGCCCCCTCTGCCGTGGGTGTCCCCACATCCCCTCCCCGTTTGGGTGCCCCCTCCCAGCGTCACCTGCTGCCCTGCCCTCCCACCTGGATGGAGCCGTGGGCGTCCCTCCCCCCATGGGTGTCCCTCCCCCGGTGGGTGTCCCTCACCCCGTGGGGTCTCTTGCCCCGTTGGGGTCCCCCCATGGGTGTCCCTCTCCCGTGGGTGTCCCCGCACCTGCAGGAAGTGCAGCGCAGGCAGGTCCGGGCTGGGGGGCTCCGGGGGGACCCCGATTCTCTGCCCCCCCCGCGGTGGCTGCCCCGTGCGGGCCCTTGTCCAGCGCAGTCCTGGATGGGGACACCGGGGACACCCCCATCGGGGGACCGCCCCCACAGGAACCCCCCAAATCAGGGACACGGGACCTGGGGGCACCAGGGGCCGACAGCCCCCCCTCGCCAGGCAGGGGACACGGGGAATGGGGCATCCCGGGGTGCCCGGGACACGGGGGACACCCCACCCGGGACACCCCACCCCGAGGGGTCACAGGGACACCAGGGACCTCCCGCCCCAAGGACACAACAGTTGGGGACCCCCCGCCTCCACCCCGGGGACCCGCACTCCGGGAACACCAGAGATGTGGCATTTGGGGACACCCAGGGGACATCGGGTAGGGGGTGGCTGCGCCCGGGGGTCCCCCCGTCCCCGCCGTGTCCCTGTCCCTACCGAGGACGCCCAGACAGGTGAGGAGGATGAGGAGGAGGGGGCTGGCACCCAGCAGCCACAGGGTCCCCGCGGAGCCCCCCCGGCCGGGCACTGGGGACAGAGACTGAGGTGACACGGAGCCCCAGCGTGGTGGGGACACTTTAGGGGATGCTACGGCTTCCCCAGGGCCCGGGCCCCGTACCTGGGCCCTGGCGGGGCCCCCCGAGCCCCCCAGCCGTGCCGGTGCCCGCCGCGGTGCCGGTGGCGTTGCCGTTGCAGAGGTGGCCGTGGCACAGGCACAGCAGCACGGAGCTGCCGGGGTGTCCCGCGGGGCTGGGCGCGCACGTGGCCGAGGGACACGCGTCCCCCCGGCCTCCCCAGCAGCCTGGGGACACGGCACGGTCACCCCGGCAGAGGACAGGGGACAGGTGGGACCCCCTGTGCGGGTCCCCCCCGCAGCTGCTCCTCCCCAGCGCCGCTGCAGCCGCTGCTCAAGGCCAAGGCCGAGCGCAGCCGCTGGGAGGGACCAGAACCTCCCCGACCCCCGGGACCAGAACCCCCCCAGTCCCCCGGCCCAGAAACCCCCAAATCCCCTGGCCCAGAACCTCCTGACCCCCGGCTGGGGCCAGAACCCCCCAGTCCCCCCTGGCTGGGACCAGAACCTCCCCAATCCCCCCGGCCGGGTTCAGACCCCTTTTTCCTTCCCGAGACCCCCCAGGGCAGGACCAAAGCCCTCAATCCTGCCCCAGCTCCTTCTGTTCCTCTAAAATCCCCCCGGGGCAGGACCAACACTTTCATCTCACCCCAAAATCCCCCCGGGGCAGGACCAACCTCTCCATCTCACCCCAAAATTCCCCCCGGGGCAGGACCAACCTCTCCATCTCACCCCAAAATTCCCCCCGGGGCAGGACCAACCTCTCCATCCCCGCCAAATTCCACCCGGGGCAGGACCAGCCCTTCCATCCTGCCCCAAAATCCCCCCGGGGCAGGACCAATCCCCCGCAGCCCCGGCCGGGGCAGGCTCGCAGCGCAGCCCCCCTTTCCCCGGCCCGCTCCCGGGGGTCTCACCCTGCACCAGAGCGTGGCTGCGGTTCCAGATGCCGACGCAGCACTGCCCGGGGGGGCAGCGCACGGCGCCCGCCGCGCCCCCCGCGCCCCCCAGCGCGCCCCGCACGCTCGGGTGCTTGTAGGACACGCAGGTCAGGTTGAGGGGACCTGCCGGGACACGCTCGCACAGGGGGGGCTTTGAACCGCCCCAGAAATGCCCCCCCAGCCCCGGCTGTGCCCCCCCAGCACCCACCTGGGCGCCCCATGGGAGCCTCCGCGGGGCCCATGGGGAGAGGAGCCGAGCAGGAGCAGCAGCAGCAGCAGGAGGAGGAGGAAGAAAAGGAGAAGGAGGAGGAGGAAGGTGCTGCCCCCGCATCAGGGAGGAGAGAGCCGGGGTGTCTGGGGGGGCAGCCAGGCCTGGCCCCTGCCCTGCGTCACCCAAACACAGCTCAGTGTCCCCTGTCCTCATTGCTGCCACTCTGGGACCGACTGCACCCCCAAAACCGGCCTGTGACCCCCCAAACACAGCTCAGTGTCCCCTGTCCCCACTGGTGCCACTGCACCCCTGCCACCCCCAAAACCGCCGTGCCCCCAAGGGACCCCTGCAGACTTCCAGACAACGCCAGCGACTCATGTTTATTACAAAAAGAACTCGTCGTTCCCCATTTACAAAGGAGCCCCCCAAAACTAACAGTTTCATCTAAGTCTTTTTTTGTACAAAAAAATAGCACTTTGGGACCCAAAAAAAAAATCATCCACCACCCCCTCCCCCCCAAAAATCGCTTTTGGGGGGGGAGGTTTATGACATCAGCCACCGGATTTGTAAAAACCAACCCCCCTCCCCTCCCCTTCCCCAAATTAAAACAACAGAGACGGGACGAGATCAAACAGGGAGAGAATTATTGCCAGTTTGGGGGGGCTGGACCCCCCAGGACCCCCCCGCTGCATAGAGAACCAGCCCCGGCCCCCCGGAATGAAGGGGTGACAGTGGATTAAAGCTGGGAGAGGGGGGCAGCCCCCCGAGCCCCCCAGACCCTCAGTGGGGGCGGGAGCGGAGCAGGAGGGGCTCATCCCCAGCCTGTCACCCCCTTGTCAAGGCACGTTTGTGTTTTGTGTCCCGGGAATGGCTGGGGGGGATCTGGGGGCTGCTGGGGGGGCTCGGGGTGGGTGGGGACCCCCGGTGCCAACAGAGCCAAAATGGGGGCGGTGGGATCCAGCTGCTCCCCCTCCCTCGGCACTGGGAGCAGCGCTGGTGGTGTGGACCCCCCCAAAATGCTCTGATCCCCCCCAAAAATCCATAGGGGAGCAGCCCAGGCTCTGAGCAGAGCCCCCCGGGGGTCCCTGGGGTCCCCCTCCCTCGCGGCTGCATTTCCATAGGAAAGCCAAGCTCCTTCGGGGACAATCCGTGGGGAAGGGACAGCCGGGACATCCCACACCGCAGCCGGGATGGGCTTTGGCACTTGATCCCCTCCGGGGACACAGCTGGGCTCGGGGGGCTTCGGGGAGGGGGTAAAATCACCAAATTGACCATTAAATTAAGAAACCTCCTGTTTTTTTTGTCCCAATCCTTTGTGGATTTTGGGCTGGGGGGGTCGGGGGCAGCTCATAGTGCTTCACAGGGTTATTAAAATACAAATGCTTAAAGTTTCCTATATAAAAATATACAAATGCAAAAATAGATATCGAGAGAGAGAGCCGGGGGGGGCTGGGGGGCCGGGCCCTGCGCCCCCTCCCCGGGGAGCTTCTGCTGCCTTTCCTTTTTTTTTTTTTTGCGTGTTTTTTACAAAAAAAACCCCAAAAAACAACGAACCCAAATCAAACCAAGATTCCTGCCGGCTGCCGGAGCTCGGGATGAGGACGGGGCAGCCGGGGCCACTCCTCTCCCGGGGCTGTCCTGGGCTCTCCCGGGAGAACGGGGAGCAGGGCCAGGACCAGGAGCGGGGCTGACCCGGGTGGGGAGCACTGGGTGTGGGGGGCCACGAGCCCGGGAGGGGACACGGCCCCGTGTCCCGGGGGAATGGCCTGGGACAGGGGGGAATAGCCCAGGACAGGCCTGGGACAGGGGGGGAATAGACCGGGACAGGGAGGAATGACCCAGGACAGGGGGGAATAGCCCAGGACAGGCCCAGGACAGGTGGGAATAGACCGGGACAGACCTGGGACAGGTGGGATCGGCCCGGGGCAGGTGGGATTCATGCATCAGCTGTGATCCCGGGGGGGGATCCCCTCTGCACCCCCCAGAGAGAGAGGGGGTCCTGCCCCGACCCCGGAATGGGAGCAGGGAAGTTCGGGGTCAGCTCCAGCCCCTCCTGGGCTCCCCAGCCCGGGCCACTGCAGGGCCCTGCTGGGCTCTCCCCAGAGCTGCTCCCTGGGAACAATCCCAGTTTCCTATTGGGGACCCACTCCCTGCACCCCCAGCCCCGTCTGGAGCCCAGGCAGGGCCGGGATGTGGCTGGGGCAGGAAGAGGAGGGTGTGGGAGGAAGAACGGAAGGGACCGAGCCCTCCCACGGCGGGAAGAGCAGGATCCTGGAAAACCCTTTTGGGTTTTTTTTTTTCCCAAGCTGTCCCTATTTCCAGCACCCTTTTTTTTTGTCAGGAGCCACCTCCAGAGGTGCCACAGCAAAACCCTCGAGTGTCCCTCGTGTCCCTGCGGTGCTGCCCCCTCGCTCCACACCGGCTGAGCTCCGCAGATTCTCCTTTTTCCCCATTATTACTGTTATTATTAATTTTAACGCTGGCTGCAATGAAAAAAAAAAAATTCATCTTTTCCCCCCTGAGGAGGCTCCAGTTGTCCCCCCAGGGCTGCCTCCCAGCCCCTCTGTCCACGACCTTCCCATGGAGCAACTCCACTCCCACGGGACAGGGAGCCTTGCCAAGAAAACGGCTGGAAAAAAAACAAGATCCAAGAAAAAGAAATAAAAACAACACCTGCCAAGGCAGGGGAGGGCAGTGGGAGTCCAAGGGTGAAAAATCCAGCGGGATCTCCCCCCAGAATGCCAAAGGAATTACAGAGTCACCTCAAAGCAAAGCGCCGACAGCCCGGGGAGGGTTTAGGGATTTGATGGGAATGGGATTGGGGAGGGAGGGAGAGCTCAGGCATTGTCCGACGCGCCCCAGAGGGGCCGACCTGCTCCAGGATAAGGCATCAAAGGGACCACGCCATGGTCACAGCAACATCTCTCCTCTCTCAAACGAACACATTTTATATTTTTATATATATATAATAATATAGAATCTTTTATCTTCTTTTTTTTTTTCTTTTTAGTTTTTTTGTGTTTGTTTTTTTTTTTTTTTTGCGTTGTTTTGTCGGTATTTCATGTCGTTGCTTTTTTTCTTTTCGTTGTTGTTTTTTTGTTTTTTTTGCTAAAAGGACCAAGGCATGACGACGCCAAAGGACCTCGGGTGGGGAGGCAGGAAAGGCGGGGAGGGAAAACGGACAAAAAAAAGGGGGAAAAAAAAAAAAACAAGCCGAAATTAAAAAATATATATATATATAGCTCTGGCCTTCGGGTGGTGCGGGCGGGGCCGCGCTCAGAAGCCGTTGCCGCTGATGTTGATGGACTGCAGGTCGGCCACCTGCATGACGTTGATGCCGCTGCTGGCCAGGCGGGCGATGCCCTCGGGGCAGATGGCCTCCATGGCCACCATGTTGGTGGCGATGAGCGCCGAGGGCGTGGCGCCGCCGTTGCCCTCGGCCGCGGCCGCCGTGTCCATGGGCACGGCCGAGACGTTCATGGCCACGCTGCCGGCGCCTCCCTTCTTGTTCTGGTGGGTCTTGATGTGCTTGGAGAGGTGGTCGCTGCGCATGAAGCGTTTGGGGCACTCCGGGCAGGCGAACTTCTTCTCTCCTGGGGGAGGGAGAGGGCGTCAGGGAGGGCAGGAGGGTGGGGTTTGGGAAGAGGCTCCTGCCCGCAAGAGGGGTCAGGGCCAGCAGCAAAGGTCTGAAGGCCAATGTTCCAGGACGCTGGAATTTTTGGAAAAGGGTGGGACCTTGGGAAAAGGTTCCTCCCCAGGAGAATGCTCAGGCTCTGGAGAGGCTTTCACCCCAAGAGCTCAAGGCCAATGCTGCAGGACGCTGGAATTTTGGGAAAAGTCTGGTACCTTGGGAAAGGCTCCACCCCACAAGCATGCTCAGGCTCTGGAGGAGCTCTCAGCCCTAGGAGCTCAAGGCCAGTGCTCAAGGATGTTGGAATTTTGAGAAAAGGTTCCTCCCTATGAGCATGCTCAGGCTCTGGAGGGGCTCTCAGCCCAGGAGCTCAAGGCCAATGCTCAAGGACGCTGGAATTTTGGGAAAAGGCTGGTACCTTGGGAAAAGGTTCCTCCCCAGGAGAATGCTCAGGCTCTGGAGGGGCTCTCACCCCAAGAGCTCAAGGGCAATACTCAAGGACATTGGAATTTTGAGAAAAGGTTGGAATTTTGAGAAAAGGTTCCTCCCCAGGAGAATGCTCAGGCTCTGGAGGGGCCCTCAGCCTCAAGAGCTCAATGCCAATGCTGCAGGACGCTGGAATTTTGGGAAAAGGTTGGAATTTTGGGAAAAGGTTCCTCCCCACAAGCATGCTCAGGCCCTGGAGGGGCTCTCACCCCAAGAGCTCAAAGCCAACCCGCCAGGCCGTTGGGATTTCACCTCGGGGACCCCGAGGCCGCCCCCCGAGGCGCGCAGCCCCCAGCAGCGCAGCCCCACCTGTGTGCGTGCGCTTGTGCCGCTGCAGCTCGTCGGAGCGGGTGAAGCGCTTCCCGCACAGCACCCAGGTGCAGATGAAGGGCCTCTCCCCCGTGTGCCACCGCAGGTGCGCCCGCAGGTGCGAGGTCTTCCCGTACACCTTCCCGCAGCCCGGCACGTGGCAGATGTGCTGCTTCTTCTTCCCTGGATCCCCAGAGCTCCTGCAAGAAGGGAAGGGTTAAAGGCGAGGGAATTTCAGGCGATACAGCCTTGGGGGGGATCTGCTGGATTAGGACCTGTGGGATTGATGAGTTTGGGGTGACATTCAGCCAGGTGTGGGGTAAGGTTCAGCCAGGTTTGGGGTGACATTCATCCAGGTTTGGGGTGACATTCAGCCAGGTGTGGGGTAAGGTTCAGCCAGGTTTGGGGTGACATTCATCCAGGTTTGGGGTGACGTTCAGCCAGGTGTGGGGTAAAGTTCAGCCAGGTTTGGGGTGACATTCAGCCAGGTGTGGGGTAAGGTTCAGCCAGGTTTGGGGTGACATTCATCCAGGTTTGGGGTGACGTTCAGCCAGGTTTGGGGTGACATTCATCCAGGTTTGGGGTGATATTCAGCCAGGTGTGGGGTAAGGTTCAGCCAGGTCGAGAGCCAGGTCCTGCCCTTGGCTCACAACATGGGACACAGGGAATTGGGGTTGGAAAGCTGGGACAGGACCTGGGGGTGCCCAGGTGGCCACGTGGATGTGGCACTTGGGGACACGGGTGGCCTTGCCAGGGCTGGGGGAACAGCTGGAGCTGATGGTCTGAGGGACCCTTCCCAACCCAAAGAATTCCATAAAACGAGGCACTCTGGGGGTGCTCCTGGTGCCAGACCCGGGGACAGCAGCCTCACCTGCCCTCTCCTTCCTTGCAGTAGGGACAGGTGCAGGCTTCCCTCCGCGTTTTCCGGCCCTGCTGGGGCTGGGGGTCGGGGCTGGTCTCCCCCTCCTCCACGGCCGCGCTCTCGTCGCCCAGCCCGTCCCCGCTGCCGCCGTGCAGCCCCAGCTGGGCCCCGTGCTCACCTGCAAGGCAACGTGGCAGGTCACAGCAGGCTCCCCTCCTGCCAAGGAGTGTGAATCCCACCCTCTTCCCTCGGCTTTCCTGACATTCCCCAGCCTGGGGCTCTCCCTGGCCTCCCCAGCCCCTGGGCCTCCACATTTCCCCCATTTTGGTCCAGGTCTTTAATTTATTTCCAGGGGCTGCGATTCCAGCCCCAAATCTGCCTTTTTCACACCAGTTTCCTCACAGGAAGGACATGCTGTCACCTCAATGTGGCAGGTTTGAGACAGATTCACCTTTTTCCCAGCAATTTCCTCACAAGGAATCTGATTTCTGTGACCCGAGTGTGGCAAGTTTGAGACAAGCATGCCTGGGGTTTTATCTCATTCCAGGGTTGCTCTCCCAAGGCTGGGAAATAAAGCTCCAGGTGGGAAATATTCCCAAAAAACCCATCTGGGGCTTTTCCTGGTGCTGTTTCCAGCAGCTCCAGTGAGGATGAGGTGACAGGAAGGTCAGTGGGGGTGTCCTGGGGCTGCTGGTCACTCACTGCATCCCCTCTGCCCTTTCAAAGCTGCCATTCCCAAAGCCCAGCCCACGATCCTTCTGGGAAGCCCTGCTGAGACCAGCACCTCGGCCAAGCACGGAAATTTCCTTTACAATCCTGGTTTTCCACATAGGAGCTCTGAGGCAGGAGCCAGGGGGGTTGGAGAAGGATAAATTTCAAATCCACTGTGAGGCGCAGGCTGGAGGTGCCAGGAGGGAGTTTCACAACCCGGAGATGGCGTTGGGAATGAGGAAGAATTCCTGGCAGGAACAACCTCCCCAGTCCCTGGCGGTGCCAGTGCCAGCAGGCGTCAGTGGCGCCCGGGCAAAGCTCCACGGAGGGACAGGAGCCACCAGAACGGGCCCCTGGGGCTCACGAGGGACAGGAGCCAGCGGAAAGTGAAGAAAGCATCCCTAAAATCCAAGCTGAAGCCTCCCAGCACAGCCTGAGGCCGTGCCCATGTCCTGTGAGCTGGGAGAAGAGGCAGGAGCAGATGGGGGGTCTGCTGCCCCCAGCCCACGGGGATGCAGATTCCCTGGGAAAGGCAGAGCTGGCCTGTGGGGGACACCCAGAGCTCCAAGCACCCCCCAGGAGCAGAGCCTGGCCCTGTCACACCGGGGACAGGGCAGGAGCAGCCAGGATGTCACTGGGGGCTGTCACCTGGCACATAAACCCCGAGGACTGCCCCTTCATCCCCTGGCACCAACCCTGGGCTCTGCCCTCACCCCTGGCAGCACGGGAATGCTGTCCCAGCCAGGCCTGGAGGAGGAAATTGTCCCCTCCAAAGGTGACACGATTTGAAGGCTGGCCCTCGGTGCCACATTCCCGAGCTCCCTGCCAAGCTGAGGATTTCAGGAGCTTCCCAGTCCCTCCCTGCAGCTCCTGTGACGTGTGTGCAGTCACAGCCCCGCACGCAGCCAGCCTGGGAGGGGTTTTTAAGCTTCCTAAGGCAGAGCTGACAGCTTTGTGCTCCAGCCATGGATTAGAGATTTCCCCGGATGGGAAGAGCTGCTGGGGGAAAAAAAAAAAATCAAGGAAAAAAAAGCTGAAAGAAGCAAAAAAACCAACCAAACAAAGAAAAAAAAAAAGCCAAGAGAAAACACAACTGTCCCCAAAAAAATCCCAAACCAGGAGAAAACACAAGTTCTTTCCCCAAAAATACAGCAGGGAGGGGGAGAATCCAGCCGGGGTGCCTTGGAATGGCTTCAATCCTCCAAGAGGCAAAAGCCTGTGTGGCGTTTTCTGGCCTTTTGGCGCTGGGGGAACAACCCAAATCCTGCTGCTGGAGATCTGTGGCCACCTCTGAGCGAGGTATAAACCCAGGGCAGCAGATCCTGGACCTGCAGGGATCATCCACCCCAAGCAGGAGCTCTGAAATCTCTGGGATACGACAGGTTCAGGGGGAAAGTGGGCAGAGAGATAATTCACATTTATTATCCCTGCTAATACACGTGCCTGCTGAGACCAAAGCTTCCCTGCAGGCTCCACACTCGGGTCAGCAAAGCCCTCAAAAATATAATATTAATAGAGCAAGAGGAGGTTTAATCCTTGGAAAAAGAAGAAAGAGGGATTTTGGGAAGGCAGGAGAGGGGAGCTGCCCCTGGCCCGGCTCCACCAATGAACTCTGAGCCCCCCCAGGAACGGGGCAGTTTCTGGTGTCCCACCAAAAAACCCAAACCCCGGAATCTTGGCTTGAGGATTCTCTGCAGACAAGGTGTTCCTTGTGCAGGAAGAAGCTGGGGCTTGTTTGCTTTATTTAGCAAACTACCAGGAGGTGAGAAATGCCCGGCGGGGAGGAGAGAGCAGCTCTCACACCCACCCTGGCCAGCCTCAGGCAGGGGAACAGACCCCGTGTTCATTTTTAGGGGAAGAGCTGGAAATGAAACCCAAAACCAACAAACTGGGGCTGATTGTGCAAACTCTGCACCTCTGGCAGCTGTGCCTGGGCAGAGGGTGAGGGGGGAGAGCTGGCACCGGGCACCACGTGGCAAGAGGAAGTTTTCAGGTGAAAAGAAAGAAAAGCAAAACCTGGGGACACGCAGCCCCAACCTTTCAGGGTGTGTTCCAGAAAATACCTCCAAAATCCACATTTTGTAGCTCACAACTCGAGTTCTCCCCATTTCCTGCCCAGTTTTTGGGGTCACTGCCCTGCCCAGAACAAACCCTAGCTGCTCCAGACGCACCAAAGAGCTGCACAAAGGGACAAAGTGGCTTTGGAACTATGTCCCCGTGTTTTTTTCCCATCTGATTCCCTCCCTGGTTTGCAAAACGAGTTAATCTCCACCAGGAGCTCATCCATGTAAATGAGCCAAGCTCTGGCTCAGCAATTCCTTGGAGATCGGGGCCATGGAGAGGGAACCAGAGGATGGGGCAGGCTGGAGGCCTGCAGCCCAGTGAGTAATTGGGCTTTAATTTGGACTCTGATGACTCCAGAAGCCACTCCTTGGGCAGCTCCTGTAATTGCTGGAGCTTTCTGTGCATCAGGATGAGCGACACTTCCTTTGGGAGGGGGATACATTGGGATGGAGCCGATGGAATGAGCGAGGTGGGCTGTAAAAGAGGACAGAGCTGAGGCAGGGAATCACCTCATCATCCACTTTGCCAGATTCCTGAGTCCCCCAGGATTTTCCAAATGCCTCTGTCACACTGCAGACTGACAGACAGAGCCCCTTTGCCCCTGAAATTCCCCCTGAACTGTCACAAAACCAGGATGAAGCCTCTGGTCCTGCCTTGCCTTGGCTGGGTGAAAGCACCCAGAGCAGCTCACCCTGCAGCACAGGCAGGTCCCACCACAGCAGCCCTGCCATCCAGGCAGAAATCCCTGTGTGAGGGCTGTGGAAGGAGGAAGATGCCTGGCTGAGACAGGGAAGGGCAATTCCCAAGGCGGGGAACCCCAGCAGGAGCCTCCCACCTCACCCGAACCTCTGTGTGCCTCTCCCTCACAGCAATCAGGAGTGGAAGCCTTCCTGAGCCACAAACCCCAAGTTTTTGATCCCAAGGAGGAAGTGATGCCTGTATCACCCCCAGGATCTAACCCAGGCATCCTGGGATGGGGAGGGAGGGGATGAGGAGCCGTCCAGCCGTGCTAAGGTGGGAGCTGACGCTCTGGAAAGGAGCCACGCGGAAACTCCCCCAAAGCCGGGAGCCAGGACGTGTCTCCTGTGTGGGGTGATAAGGACGGGGCTCCAGCAGGGCTGGGGCTGGCACAGATAAAAGGGAGAGGCAGATCAGGGCCCGGCAGACGCGTCTGGAGCCGGGACCTCTCCCGGGAGGAGTCACGGGGTGGGTGCCGCGCACCCGACCCGTCCGACCGGCACGGCTGCCAGCCCTTCCCTGCCCCGCTGAGCCTGCCCAGAGCAGCAGCAGGGAGAGGAAAAGGAGGAGGAGCAGGGCTGCCCCACGGAGCCCAGCACCCACGGGGTGTCCCCTCCACGGGGACTTTGTGTGGGGCACAAGCTCACCCGGGCAAAGCTGCGACAACGCAGGCTCTGCCGGGATCGCTCCCCTCCTTCCCAGGCCAGCCCGGGGTCTCTGGGGGCTCGTGCCAGTCCCCAGGGAAGCACAGGGAGGGAGGTCAGGCCAGGAGCGCAGAGGGGATGTAAAGTCCAGCCTGGCTGGGATCCAGAGCAGGAAGTTTCACAATGTGCTGGTTTGTGCCGTGATGTCACGGCTGCGGTGAGACAAACAAGGGCCGGCGCTCCTCAGGGCCGGCTCCCTCTCCCCTCCCCGCCACGCTCCATGCCATGGGGATGCCTCATCCAGGCCCCGCTACAAAGCTGCCCTCAAAACCCAGCAAACAGGACACAATCGGGGCTTTGTGCCACGGGCCCCACTCTGGGAAGGGCCCTGGGAGGGCCAAGTGGGAGCAGGAGGGGTTTGCACACACTGCCGAGGGCTCCTGTGCCCACCAGGGACTGCTCCACTCCCCCTCATCCTCCACCCGAGGAGCTGCAGGGGAGCTCGTGCTGCCCAGGAAATGCCAATCCCACCCAACAGCTCCATCCAGCCCTGGAATCAAACACCCCAAAACGAGGGATATCCCTTGAGTGCCCCCAAAACAAGGGGAGTTAATTCTAGTGCTGATTTCTCTGAGCTGCACATTCCTCAGCCAGGTAGGGCTGGGACAGGGACATGGGGACAGCGGGGCTCTGACAGGGACAAGCACATGGGGACAGAGCCACTATAAGGACACCGAGCTCAGAACAGTCCCTCCCTATGGCAAAAGAGGAAGAGAAACCCCGATGTCACAAAATCCCCACCATCATCCCCCTCACACAGGATGTCCCCTCCCTGGGCGGGCTGGGGTGACACTGAGGTGGCTCTCAGACCCCACTGAGGTATTGCAGACCCCACCTGAGCCCCAGACCCCATCCCTCTCATGTGGGCAGCGCTGGCAGCAGCCCGGGGAGGGTTTTGGGGCACTGCCAGCTGAGGAAATCCCCTCTCCCTGGCTCTGGGGGTGCCCTCCCCAGGGGCAGAGCCAGTGGAAGGGCCTGTTTGCCCACATGCCACCCCTGGTGGCCACAGAGCTGTCCCTGCCTCTGCTCCTTCCCAGCCTGGCCAGGGAGGAGGAAGGAACAGCCTCTGAGCCACCCTGTCAACACAGACTCCAAGTCAGACCTGCACAGAGCTGGGCTCTGCATCCTACCCAGGAGCAAAAAAATCCCAGTTTTGAAGACCTTTTCAGGTGTTGTTTTCTCCCTGAGGGATTTTTCCCCTGTCAAAAACCAGGAGAAAACCTCATTGGCAACAGACCCGAGGGGCTGGGAGCCACAGGGGTTCAGGAGGGGACACAGAACCCCCCAGGAGGCCGGGCTGAGCTCTGCAAGGGGCAGGACACGCAGTGCTGCCAGCCCAGGTGGCAGCTGGGGCCACCACACCCCGGGCTGGGCACCTCCTCCTTCCCCAGGAACAGCATCCAAGGAAAACCAGCCACAGTCCCCTCCCCAGCCAGGGCTCATTTTCCATCTGCCTCCCCCCGGAAGCACAGGAGCTTTTCCTGCTCCAAAAATCCTTCCCAGCTCCTTGCCTGGAGCAGAAAGTTCCAGCACACATGGAGGCTTGGAAAACTCAGGGATTTGGGGAGTGTTGGGAACAAACCCCTCCCTCAAATTCCCATGGGAGAGCTCGGATCCAGAGGGACGCAGGCCTGGGGGGCTCAGCACCCCCGGGAGAGCGGCTGGTGGTGGCTGGGGGGACAAAGGGACCCTTTGCCACGTCTGAGGGACACGGCCAGAGCAAAACTCCTCCGGCCTGGAGTCAAAGCCTGCCCCTGGGCCGGCGCCAGGAAGCTCTGTGCTGGCCACAGCTTTCCCCATTTCACCACAGGAGCCTCCGGGACCATCCCACAGGGCTGGGGCTCCCCAAAAAACCGCTCTGAACCCTGCTCTGGCTTTGCTGTTAAAATGTCCCCGTGCCACAGTGACAGCGCCAGCGTCACGTCCTCGGGGCTGGGGACAGAGCCAGGAGGCCCCGCTGCTGCTGCAGCCGCTCGCGGGGAATTCTCCACGCTGATCGAGGGCTGAGAGCTGCTGAGCTAAAAAAAAGGAGAGGAGGAGGAGGAGAGAGAGGAGGAGGAGAGAGAGGAGGAGGAAGAGGCGGTTGCATGGGTGGTCTCTAGAACGTTCCTCCCTGTTCCACCTCCGAGGGCAGAGCCAGGCACGAATACAGGAACTGGGCTCGCCCATGCCTTTCTCCAGCGCCTTCAAAACAAGGAAGGAGCCCGGGAGCACCAAGGAACGAGCCCGGGAGCAGCAAGGAATGAGCCCTGGCCCCGGCAGGAGCCACCCCTGGTTTGGGATTGGGGGTGAGGGGACCCTGCACACCCAACGGGTCACACAGGCTAACCCGGTGCCAGCCCCGCCTGTGGGAGCCCCCTGCGGGTCCCTGGCTCGGGGAAATCCAAGGATCAGGCTAATCCTGAGGCTAGAGTGACTCGTGGCTTGCCTGCGAGCCAAGCTGCTGTAGCAACAGCCCAAAATAATGCTGCAAAACAAGCCCGGGGGAGCAGCCGCTGCCTCTCGCGAGAGGGAAGCTCGGGCTGGATTGAGCAACATTTTCTGCTGCCTCTCAACTGTGACTAAATCCAGCAACAGCCCCTTTTAGCCAGAGCCAGAACACAAAAAAAAACCCGGAAAAAAACCCAAGGAAAACAGTGGAAAAGCAAGTGGAGAGCGTTGCCAGGGCCAATCCCTTCCGCGGCAGCAGCTGAGCAGGCTCCAGCTCAGTTCCCACGTTCACGTATCCCGCTTTTCCCAGGCCCTGGGAGACGGTGGGGTGGATCCCCGGGGATCTGAGCAGGGTGTCCCGTGCCCACGGGACCAGCTGGGCCACGCTGAGGTCACGCTGTCCCGCGCCAGCACCCAGACACTTAATGAGCCCTTTCTTCCGCCCCTGGGAGGAAATTCCCCGCGGCTCCGTGACTGGGTTTGTTTTCATGGGCTTTTCAGTTAATCCCTGTGTTTTATGGCCATGACGCCTTACAGGCTCAGCCAAGGAGCTGAGCTGGACTCGGGTCCTCAGCCCAGCCCTGACCCCAGACTCCTGGGTGGCCTCCAGAGCAGGACAGTGGCACAAAACCAGGTGTCCCCTTTCTTCTCCACTTTCCCTCCACAGCCACTTCCTCCCTTTCATTCCAAGACTTAAACTCCCCAAAAAGACCTTTAGTGTCGTCTTGTGATCAAGACACTCTGTCCCCAGGGCCAGCACAAGCCCCACCCCACCACCACCACCATTTGACACCGACCACGCCCAGCCCAGCCGGGCCCAGCGCTTCTCCTTCCCGTGCCTGGCTGCGAAAGGGGACCCGGGGAGCCGAGCACTCACCGGGGGCGTTGGCGATGGCCAGGGGCAGCCCCTGCAGCTGGTGCACCTGGATCCCGGACGCTCCCAAGGCACTGAGGTTAATAGTCTGGAGGCCCGGCACGGAGGAGAGCTGGGCGGCGTTGACGGTGACGGTGCCGCTGGGCAGGGAGGCGATGGGGGTCAGCGTGGTGCTGGTGCTGCCCGTCTGGCCCAGCGACACGCCCTGCATGGGGGCCAGCGTGATTGTCTGCGCCTGGGGGTTCTGCACCTGCAGGTTCTGCAGCTGGATGGTCTGCCAGCTCACCTGCCCGTTGGGACCCACCGTGGGCGTGCGGATGATGATGGGGCCGGAGTTGGGCACGGCTTGGAGCTGCAGGTTCTGCAAGGTGTCCTGGGAGATGGCTTGAGTGGCAAAGGTCTGGCCAGACAGCGGGGTGGTCTGGAGGGCTTGGATTGTCTGCCCTCCTTGGACCAGCTGTGGCTGGATCAGGATCTGCTGCTGCTGCTGCTGCTGTGACTGCTGGCTCTGATCCCCCTCCTTCTGCTGGCCCGGCTGCAGGGCCACCCCGGACACCGGGGTCTGCAGAGAGTCCGAGCTGGGGACACTGCTGGCCCTCTGGGGGGTCTGCGCCTGCACGTTGGTGCCCACCGTGGCGCTGGTGGAGAAATTCATGACGCCCACGTTACTGGTGGTGGTGGTGGTGGAGTAGCTGTTGGCGTTGGTGAAGAAGGCGCCTGAGCTGGCCTGGGACGTGGCCGTGCTGCCCGAGCTGCTGGCAGCCCCCGAGGTGGCCGGCTGGGAGCTGCTGTCCGGCGAGCCCGAGCTGCTCAGGGTGCCCGTCTGGGAGGTGGGGGCCAGGCTGGCGGCCACGCTGTTGACCGGCAGCAGGGTGATGTTGCCGTTCAGGGCCACGGGCACGTTGGCCACGTACTGGGTCTGCCCGGAGAGGCTGTTGTTGGCCAGCCCCACGCCCTGGATGGGCACGGCCTGCTGCAGCAGGTTGGGCATGGCGATGAGGTTGCTGCCGCCCGCACGGCTGGTGATGATCTGCTGGTTGGAGCCGGGGATGATCTGCAGCTGCCCCGAGGCATCCTGCTGCACGTTCACCTGCGCCGGGGTGGTGGCAAACTGCAGCTGCTGCCCGTCGATGGTCTGGAACTGGGGGATCACCTGGTACTGGATGTTGGGGATGACGCCGGGCAGGCCCGTGAGCACCTGCTGGTTCTGCAGGCCGGACGCCGAGGTGACCACGTAGGGCCCGGTGCTGACCGGGCGGCTCTTGGAGGCGTCGCCGCCGTTGCTGCCGTTGCTGCCCGGCTCCTTGGAGCCCGTGGGGGTGCTGGAGCCCGCCGAGATGATCTGCCAGCCGTTGGCCGACTGGGTGAGCTGGGCGGCGGCCGCGTTCAGGTCCAGCTCGCCGCTCCCGCCCTGCTGGCCCTGGGAGCTGTTGGAATTCTCATTGGGAGACTCGATGCGGCTGCAGGTGGCTGCCAGCAGGGCCAGCGGGGACGGCTGTGACTCCTGGGGATGAGAGGAGGAGTTACGGGCATGGGAGGCGGCCCGAGGGGCAGGCCCGGAGTGGAAAAAAAAAAAGAACAACCAAACGGGGAAACAAAAAAAAAAGGAAAACTTAATAAGAGAAAATAGGGAGGAGCATACTCGGAAAAGATAAACACTCCTTCCTGAACAAACCCACCCACAGCCGGAAAAACACAACTGCCAGGCACAAGGCTGTCAGGCCGGGACAGCCTGAACCCACACGGAAAAGCCTTTTGGGAGGGAGCCTGCCTGGGAAAGCCAAGAGAGGAGAGAGCTCCTCTACCCCCAAGCCGGGGAATCCCCCTGAGGCACAAACCCCCAGGCAGGAGGGTCATTCCTGGGCTCCCCGAGCTGGAGAAGCGCCAGCGGGGGCCGTGGTGTCACTGGCACAGGGGAACTGCGTGTTTCCGAGGAGAGCTGGGGACCAGGGGAAGCCACGGGCCTGCTTGGCAGCGCTCAGCCTCCTCTTCCTGCCAGTGCTGGGACGCTTGCCTGGGCCCAGCAAACAGCTCGGCCGGGCCTGGACTTTGCCACGGGTTCCCCGGGGCCAGCAGGGCCGATCCTGCCCCCACTCACCTGGGCCTCCCCACCGCCGGCGCTGCTCGTGCTGCTGGCGTCGCCTTCGCCCTTGTCGGGCTTCACAGCCGACATCTCCTCGGTGCTCTCCTGGTCTGCGCAGGAGGGAAGCGACAGCCGCGGTTAGGGACATTTTGGGGCAGGGCAGCGGCACGAGGCCCGGCAGGGCCGGGCAGGGCCGGGAGGGGACGCGGCGGGCTGGCTCTGGGGGCACCATGTGCTGCTGGCGCAGCCGGCGAGGGGCTGCGAGGAGCGGGGAGCTGCCAAGGAGGAGCTGGCAGCGGGACAGGGGGGGAGGACCCGGCCCTGCTCCAGGCGCGGCTCCTCCCCGGCCGCCCGGGACACTCCCTGGCCCCCGCCGAGCGGCGCCCCGGGCCTGCCCCCGGCCTCGCCCGCGGGCCGGGGCACGCACCTCCCGCCCCGGGATTCCCCCCGAGGGTCCGGCCCGCGGGATGCCCTGCCCGGGGCTGCCCCGCCCGCCGCCCCCCGGCTCGGGGGTCCCCGCTCCCACCGAGTCCTCACTCTCCCAGCGCTCAGGAGCCTCCGCATCCTCCGCCGCCACCGGGGCTGCGCCCCCCGCTCCTGCGCTCGCCCCCAGCGCCGGGGTCAGCCCCGGGGAGGGGGCGCCGAGCGCCCCCCGCCCGCTCGCTCCTTCCCCCGGCCCCGCATCCGCCCCCGCGGGGCGCCGTGCCCGGCAAGGGGGCAAAGACCCCGGAGCCTG